CTAGAACCAACACCAAGAACCAACACCTAGACCCAACATCCAGAACCAATACCTAGACCCAACATCCAGAACCAACACATAGAACCAACACCTAGAACCAACGTCTAGAACCAACACCTAGAACCAACATCTAGAACCAACACCTAGAACCAACATCTAGAACCAGCACCTAGAACCAACACCTATAACCAGCACCTAGAACCACTGTCTAGAACCAACACCAAGAATCAACATATAGAACCAACATCCAGAACCAACACCTTGAACCAACATCCAGAATCGACACCTAGAACCAACATCTAGAACCACCATCTAGAACCAATGATCCACATCAACATTTCGTCTAAACATGTAAAAGCAGAACCTTGTCTGGTCCAGCTTCACCACATCAGGTTCTACTGATGTTAGAGCCTCAACAGGTGGTGAAATGTGACCAGAGACTGGGTTCTGGTAGAACCATGGATCCATCCATAGACAGACACCGACAGGAACTTTATGGATCAATAATGAAACTGTGTCTTGATGGATCCGTTCAGTGGTTCTGATGGAACTGTTCTGTCTGAGTCTCCACACTTTTATTTACGGAGGTTCTGAACCTAGAAATGGACTCTCAGGTTTCTATTTGAGGTGAAAACAGAAAAAAATCTGAGAAATTTCCTAAACTAGAGCTAAAAGAGTTTTTGGTCCCAGATTCAGTGAAGACTGGACAGAATGTGACGATGCAGCACCGTCTCCATGTTCAACCCCGTTGAGGTTACAGGGACCAGCTGTGTGTGTGCAGATGGACTGACCCGTGTCTGGTTCTGGCGGTCAGGATCAGCTGCAGAGCTTTGGCCTGCAGTCTGACGTGATGAATCGTGGCCACCTGTCGGTTCTCCAGACCACTGTACAGGAACTCCAGCTTATAGGTCTCATCCAGGATCTACAGAACCAGAGAACTGCACAGTGACACACAGAACTGCACAATAACAAACAGAACCGCACAATGACCCACAGAACTGCACAATAACAAACAGAACCACACAAGAGTGACTTTTCAGTGTCACCAGTGTTGTGATGCTGATAC